GCTGGAGTCCTGCAGAGCTGCTGCTGAAAAAAACAACAAAAAGAAGGAAATCTTTGTAGTTTTAGGTCTGATCGCTTCAGGTGGTGCCTGTTTCTCCTTGTCGGATGAAAAGGCATCCCGAATCCTGCGCGTTTGCCTCCTGTGTCGCAAAACCCGAGTGGTTTTTATAGCCCTGGCTTTGGAGACGGCTGTTTGCGGCGCTCCGAGCTGATGCGTTTTCCCTGGTGACTTCCAGTGCTTCCTTTGGGAATTGTAAGAGGCGGATGCGCACGGAGATGCGACGTGTCAGGTTCCATATAGGCATTCCATGAAAATCTCCCTTTCTGGCCCGCTCACAAGACCCTTCGCCCTTTCCACCCTGTTGTACTTTGTAAATCCTCCAAGATTTCATGTTGTTGAACCGTCCCCGTACGTTTTGCCCCATTTTTCCAGTGTGATGCAGAGGTTTGAAGCCGTAGGATTCTATTTTAGGACTAATTTTCATTTTTTATTATTTTTAAAAATAACTTATTTATCAGTGATCTGGAAGAAAACATCAGCTAATGGATGGAGGAGCTAGTGAAGACGGAACAACTGAGGAGATGATAAATAATGAAGAGGACAGGTCTTGGGTACAGCGTGACCTTGATTGCTTAGCTGGAGGGCTGTGTTTTGCAAGCAAAATGCATCAAAAAGAGAAAAAGGAAAAATTAAAATTGCACTCAGAGCGTGCAGGATGCTTTTGGGGGGAGTTTAGCTTTGAAAATGAATAGAATCCTGTGGATTTTAGGCTTCTTTTGAATGTTGTAGGTGCTTCAGGTGCTGCCCTTGCGCTTTGTCCACCAGCCCTACGCCCCGTGGAGCAGCTTTTGGGCAAGGGGAGATGAAGTAGGTTGGGAATCCGAAGCTGGAAACGGTGACTGAGGAGGAACATGAGGATAAATCATTAACAGTCTGCGGAAAGCGCTTGCTCATTAACTGCCTTTGCTTTAATCACGGATTTGGAGGTGCTGGGCGATTCCGCGAAGCTGGAAACGGTGACTGAGGAGGACATGAGGATAAATCGTTAACAGTCTGCGCTTGCTCATTCACTGCCTTTGCTTTAATCACAGATTCGGAGGCGCTGGGCGATTCCAGTGCGTTGGTTTTGGGACCAGCAAGGAGGTGGCACCCAGGGGACTCCTGCTATTGAGGGCTGAAAACTCAGGGGGTTCAAGAGATGGCACCAGACTGCCCCAAAGAGGGGGAAAAAGGCTTTTATTTTATGTACTGAGGCTGTCTCCGGTTTGGGAAGTCTCTGCTCCGCTCTGTTTCCGCGTATTTTCCTCCGGGGAGCTGTTGTTGGCTGCTGTTGGGAACGGTATTTGAGCAGATTTAATTAGCACTCGTCATTAGCCTGCAAACGAACGTGCTGGACGTTATTCCGCGCCGCGGTGCCGTCGGGAAGCGCCGCCTGCTCTGCCTTGGCCTCGGCGGGAGCGAGCGGGCGCCGTAGATTCCAGCCCACATCTGCAAACTCTCCGGCTG